ATCCAAAGTGGCTGCCTGGAGCACTCCGCAGATGACTGCCGAACTCTCCAGATCCTGAAAAAGCCCTGAAACACCCAGGTCTTTTATCAACCTGCTTCCTACTATAAGGGTTCTTAAGGGGGATACTAGGAGTTTAGACTATAGGTCAAATAAGTGTTCAGAAGCTGTCACGCCAGAGTCAGAACAAGCGAGCTAATGCTGTGTTCGGTGAGCTTAACACATCCCGCAGTCACTCTATGACAGCAAATCACACCACCTACAACATGTGGCTTTAGGGTCAAGGCCAAGAGTTCTTTTGTACAAGCTCCGTCAGGGGTACAGCTCCCCATCTTTCTAGGATGCCTAGGCAATGCTCCAAGTCTCCATTTAAAGAATTTCTGGTCTCAGTTGATTGGACGTGCAGCCATTCGAGGTGTATCCTGAAGTTGCGTATATAGATCTGCACCTTTTTGCATAGGGCATCACATTCATCCAGGTCTCTCTCCGTATGAAACTTGAGGATCCTGATTGTGAAGCCTGGGCAGCGCAAGTTTCTCCTGTGCTTGCACTAGGCTGGCTCGAGAACTTTGTGGCCCAGTAGTCATCGGCAGATATTGTATTCACGCTAGGCTATGCCGCCACCACGCTTGCGTGTTTAAACACATCATATGCCCCCCAGGTGTCATCCAGACAACGGGAACCTGTAATTTCGGGAAGTCCGGGCCTCGGCCTGCTGCAGCAAGCCGGGCGGTGGGGGTGTTGCAAGCGTTTTTGGATCGAGCTATAGTGATGTCACCTTTGGTATATTCTAGGTTCTAGATCATGACAGCCTTTGGCTGTGAGGCAACAGCCTGGTTTTGTGCAGGTCTATGGGTTTGCACGATTCTTTTGATTCTGTGAAAAGGGTGTGTCAAGGACAGGAGTAGGACTCGAGGTAAGCTGATTGTGTTTCGACAAGGGCATGCAGATGTGGCTTCCGCGTTTAAAGTCTGAGGTTTCGTGTCAGGGTGTGCAAGGCCAGGAATTTGGGCTCCCGAATGTGGGGCTTGTAGTGCAGCACATTAAGTACACTAAGTGCACTCCTGTAACACGTGGGTCTTGCAAGGAGCCTTTATGGGATCGGCGTGACTCTATAAGCAGACCCGCGTGATCTCCGCAATGTATCCCTATAGGATACATACTCCTATTCGCAGAACCCTTCCCCAGCTCTGATTTTGAGGAAGCTCAGGGAGGTGTGGGGAGCATGCGGGGGCCCTTTCTCAATCGACATTTTTTGAGGCAGGGCTTCTTGCTACAATGTCAAGCCCCTATTCAGACACCGCTGAATCCAGAAGCTCTATGAACATCGGTTCAACTATGCTCAACAAGCATTAAGCCGCCAAAGCTAAACATGATTCCAGGCAGAAAAACCGAGTTAACGAGTTAGAACCAGATTGTAACGCCGCTTTATGCACTCATACTACTGTACCCCCCAGACACACTTCAGACTCCTTATCATCCAGTAGTTTGGGCCCCTAACGCCGCTGCTTAGGCTTAACTTCTTCATGGGTAAGAGGGCTGCGGATGAGGGGCGAAACTCCATCTATCCCCAGATCGATTTCTGCAAGAATCCGCCACTTGGGCGGCAACATCACGTTGTTGAAGGGCATGGAGTTTCTGTTGCCTCAAGGCTCTAGGAATTCATTGTTTCAGGCACATAGGGGCCCAAAGACCACACTATAAAAGGCTTTTGGGCTAATTTGAGCTTTGGGCGACTGTTATCGTCTGAACAAGCAATTATAGGAATGGAGCCAATATACCATACCCATCAACCCTAAACTCTTAACCTGTTTCGGAATTCTACTTGGCTTTTGCTCGAATACGAAAGATGTTCCCTGGAATCTGAGGTTCAGGGGCTATTGGCCTTCATCTTCCTGGGAGTTTAGGGTTTAGCGTACGGAAGTGGATCCCTCTTCTGATCTCTATTGTAAAGTCTCTATCCACTACGCATCTGCTAATACCCCTTTTCTGGGTTGCTGTTCAAAAACGCTAACTAACCTACTATGTTTAAAAAAACGTTATTTACTACATACCTATATTATGGTAGCCGAATTTATCTTCCTTAGCAGCAAACAGTAGTACGTAGGTATATTCACCGTCTGCAACGGCATGTCCTGTAGTCCAAGGTTTAGGGTCTGGGGTGTCAAAAGTGTAATCCCTTCTTGCGTGCTTATATAGTACGGCTGGTAGTGTTTAGCTCGCCCGAAACGGGACCGCATTTTTAACCAGCTAGCATAGTTGAAACAATGTCTTCTGAGCCCTCACGGCATATGAAGAACAAGCCCAAAGGAAACACAAAGGAAATTCTGCTTGAGAGCGCGCCCATCCAATTTTCAAGAGCATGATTAGACAAGGAACAGTACATCTCGTGAGCACCTCACGGCATCGAGTAATGTATGGGCGCGAAGAACTAAAATTGCCTTTGGGGGTACAGTGCGATCCAGGTGATTGTGTGAAGACGGGGACATTCCTTCTAACCTTTTTTTTTTTTTCCGGGAATGTGCT